CCACCGCCATTACTTAGGCTAACTCTTCCTCCGATGTCACCATTATTTCGCAAACCTGCAACGTTATTAGTTCTGAGACCATTGCTGTTTACAAAGTTGGCAGTAGCCTGAAAGTCAGCGATGTTTAATAGGTTATTGGTGTTTCCGAAATTATTGTTGCTTTCAGGGCCACCTTTTTGAAAACCATTGTTACTCACAAAATTACTCTTATTGATTTCAAAGCCAGTTTCGAGTCCGCCATTTCTGTTTGAATCAACGTTACTTCCCACATCAGCACTGCCTTTAAAAATACCGACACCCTCGAGACTGTCGTTAATACTGAAGTCGGCGATACTTCCCAGACCAACATTACTTCCAAAATTATCTAATGCTTCTATACCGCCGTTAATCCTCGAGGTAACACTACTTCCCAAACCGGCATTACCATTGCCAGTTTCTCCTACTCCCAGACCATCGTTGGCTCTTGATTCGATCCCATTTCCCAAGCCAGTGTTAGTTACAGAATTTCTGACACCTGTGAGTCCGATGGCAGTTTTTCCCAAACCAAAGATACTTCGAAAAGTACCTGGAGCTCCGAGAGCAATGCCCGATTCCTGAGAACCACCGGTGCTACTGTCGCCAACGGAGGATTGGCTATTTCCATGGTTAGCTGCGTTCAGGGCTGTCTGAAGGTCCACTCCGATGGGGAGGATTGGGTTCTCGCCTTCAGCGTAATTGACGAAGTAAACCTCGGGTTCAGAAGGTGGCGGTGCCGGGACTTCGATCACTTTATGACTTTGTTCCATCTGTTTATTTAGGACGTACACGATTTGTTCCTGCTTCGGCGGAGGTACTACGATGGGATCTGGACCTTGTCCCCTTTCAGGAGTTCGGATGAGCAAATGGGTAGTCTCTACAACCGGCTTTGGAATGTAAGGCGGAGGACGAGTGACTTTGGTTGTTGATGGAATGTCATACACAAACACACGACCGTTGACTCGCGGACGGACGCATCTACCATCTACATGCAACACCTGTCCGGCATTACATCTTGAAACCAAAGATGGGCCGGAAGGAGGTTGAAGGTTATACCCCTGTGGTGACGCTGTGGCACCAAATGCTACAAAGAAGACAAAGACCTGAAATAATAAAGAGAAAGATATTGACTGCCATATATGTTGACTCTTTTCTAAAGTTAACTTAATTAGACTGATTTAGGAAAAAAATCTGATAACAATCTTTCCTTAAAAATAACCATATTGGTCTGTGAAGGGAAAAGAGTTTTATAGAAATTACGGCTCACCAGAGGCTTCATTGTAATGACTAATGCATTATTCCTCTGGTGATCTGAAATTTATATGCTGCATTTCACTGACATGGTGGACAACTTCACATAGCTGTCGTACTAGTTATTTGGTAATAGCTACTGCCGTTGAATCACGTTTACTTTCGGTTTTGTTAATGCAGACGACGATAGATATATATATTAATATATATATATATATATATATATATAATATATATATTATATATATATATATATATATAATATATATATATATATATATGTGTGTGTGTGTTGTGGTGTGTGTGTGTGTGTGTGTGTGTATGTACATATATAATATATATATAGTATTATATATATATATATATATATATATATATATATATATATATATATATATATATATATATATATATATATATATATATGTATTTATATATAATATATATATATATATATATATAATAATATATATATATATATATATATATATATATATATATATATATATATATATATATATATAGTATATATATTATAATATATATATATATATATATTTATATAGTTATATATATATATAGAACATATATATAATATACATATATATAATATATATATATATATATATATATATATATACATAATATATATATATATATATATATTAATATACTATATATTTATATATATATATATATATATATATATATATATATATATATTATGCGTGTGTGCGTGTGTGTGTGTGTCTAGATCGTTTTGGATTCGACTTTAAAGGATTCATTCGTTATAGTTTTAAGTTGTAGAGACCTTGCTGAAGATGTATGCATTTTTTATTCACTTATTCATTGTTAAGGCATATCAATATAGCAAAAGTTAGTGTTTAAACAAATAAGTAAATAATAATGGTCATCTATGAATTATTTGTTTGTGTTAGATGTTAAGAATTGAATGGGGGAAGGTAATTCTAACGGTTTTCCCTCAGATGGGAGCCTGACGGGAACATACCTGTGTCCACACACAGGTAGTTAGGCGCTGGTAATAAAAGTCGTGTTTTATCCTATTATTATTTATTGTAATGCTTGATAAGTGAATTAACATGATTATAGAATCCCTGTGTACAGAATTGTGAAATTGGAGGACGTCCTACTTTCGCCCATACACTGAGCGAAGAAAATTGAAAATAAGGCAAAGTCAGATGGCATACTGCCTACATTGTTAGGAAATATTCAT